AATGGAATCATGGGGATTTCAAAGACAAATCTTACCACTGAGGCAGGGATGGGGGAGGGGGCGTGAAGATGGACCGAGGGAAGCTGTAGTCCCCCTCCCTCATGAAAGTGGAGGTAAAGTCTCACATCAGCGAGGACACCTCAGAGGTGAGGCAAAAATATTAGATGGCAATGTAAAGACACTGTCCTCCACACCCACTCAAGTCTCAAGCGTTCTGCCCAGTGTTTCAGGAGCACTGCCCCCCAGCAAAATGATGACACCCACGGCTCTGGCGGTTGTGCTGTCCTCTTTTTGAGGGTAAGGGAGGTTGGCTCAGATTGAGCTCAGCTTCCCCTCTCAAGCTTTCCTTAGCACCCAGTGGAGCCCAAATCCTCAAGTCCTCTTCCCTGCACATTGAACCCTGAAAGAGCCAATCCTTTGAGATGGACCTGGAGTGGCTGAGTCTAAATTCTGAATGGAGGTGAGCAGCTATTTGCTGACTGGAGGTTACAAACATACCCTGTGTCCTCGGGAAAACCAGCAGCTAAACAATAATTGAACTCTGGTGCTCTCACAGCTGTCTGACCCTGTGTGCACCACTAGAATCAACTGCTGTTGGAAGGCCCCATGTTGCCACCTGGACCTGACCGGTGAACTGTGACCTGCGGTTGATTTTAATGACAAGTCAGAACTGAGCAGCCTTGCACTCCTCATTCACATAGCGAACTGGAGTGGAAACCTACACAGGACTTTCTCCATGTAAGACAGCCCCTCCCTTCGTTCCAGCAGAGCTCACTTTAGTGTTACATGGAGAGCCTGTGTCTCCCTGGTTTGCAAACTGTTTGCCAGATAAAGTCTCTCTTTATCTCCAAATTCTTTTCCAGTGAATTTTAACAACACAAATTCAACAACTTCCTGCCCCAGCTGCCTGCATGGTTACCTCTTCCATCTCCAAGGCTACTATCCCAGGAGCATTGCCTAAGCACCCAACCCCAAGAGACCCCATTGCTAATCAGCAAGAGGCCAGGAAAGAGAATCAGCAAGCAGTGAGGTTCCTCTGAGGCCAGCAAGCCAGCTCCTGGGCTGGGCTGGTTCTGGGGACCAGGGAATAAAGGAACCATGAAGCCCTGGAGGTCAGTTATTTGTGATGCTGAGGACAGGAAAAATATAGTGTGGAGTGCGGGGCTTGGCCCAGTAGCCTCCCTGAGCCCTTAGGGGCTGTGACTCCCTTGGAAACTGCCCTGGGACTCATCTCGTGACCCCTTTGGTCCACAGCTGCTCTCTATTGGAGAGCCCAAGGGTACTTTCTGTTCTTAACAGTCACCCACTTGAACTTGATCACAGGCTGTCTGGGGACATCTCTTGTTTTACTCTCTAGTTTTTAGATAATGATTTTTTTTTCCCCATGGGATGTTTGAGCTTAGCTCCTTGAGGGCAGAGGAGCCCCTGGCATCAAGTGGCAATCTGGACACTCTGTAGGCATGGCAATGATTAGGAGAATAAGTTGTTTTTCTGTCTCCACCTATGATATTAAGACGTATGGTAGGATGCAGGACCAGATGATGATAGAAAGATCTCCTTCTGTTCTGAGGGCCTGCAAACTAGCAAGAAGAATTAAGGCACTTTTTAAAAGATAATGAAATCCAAAATAATGTTTTTCTTTAATTATTTGTCCACTCCTTTAGACGTGAGTTATCTAATTTTCATACTTCTCCACGCTATTTTGTATAGGTAGACTCCCCTCAGCTTTAGGGAGGAGTGGTGTGGCCACCAGTCTGGACAGGTGTCCTTGGATGGAAGGGCAATGGTCTGCAGCACCAGAAGCTGCACCTCTGTCTCTGCTAATGAAGAGTTTTTAATTACCTACAACACCTTTGTCCTCATTCTGCACCAAAAAATAATGTACTCGTTCCTTCATTTGTCATATATTTACTGAAAACCTACCACTCTAGGGGCAATCACTGGACTAGAAGCTTGGAATACAAAGTTATCAATGTAGTTATTGCCCTCAAGGGGGCTCCTTCCAATGGGGGTGACAAATAGCTACATGACACAGTTGGGTTATAACACAAAAGCTCCATGGGTAGCGAAGACTCAGAGAAGGCATCCTGGAGCTGAATGTAGCATGTGACTTGAGTCTTGAAAGACAAGACTTAGTGAATCTTCAGGTATAGAATAGGAAAAAATATTTCAGGCAGAGAGATAGTTTGCACCAAGGCAGGGAGGCATGAAAGACCTGGAGTACACTGAGAAAGGCAGATGGTTCTATTGGCGTGCACTATCAGCTGGTGTGTGTGTGTGTGTGTATTTTGGAAGGAGGGATGATGAGGCTGGAGAAGTGGTAAACTTGATGCCACGTCTCCTTTGTTTGTATTTTATCCAGCTGAGTTTGTTCAATTCTGGAAATGAAATGATTAGGGTTGGCTTTGGTAAGGTTGTTCTGGTGTGAAAAATGAATTAGAGCAGTAATTCTTCCAGAGCCTTCTTCCAGAGGCTAAGAAATCAGAGTCTTGCCTAAACTCTTGCCTGCCAGTCTAAGCAAGAACTGCCAAAGGCCTTGACGAAGGTAGAGTGAGGGTCAGGGAGACCGCAAGGGAGGGAGGATTTTGAGGCAACTCCTAGATGGCAGTGCCCACTTACTGACATGAGGAATACTGGAAAAGGGCTTTCTGTTGTTTTAAATATGGGTAGAGAAGAAAAATTTACATTTGTATCAATAGATAATAATGTTACTGATGATTGGTAACTTTTTAGCACCAGCTCACAAGTATCAATTCCACAACTGTGGCAAACTGCCCTAATGAAAGAAATCCTGCAGTTATTCAAACCCCTTTCCTCCTCCACATACTTTCCTTTCTCCCACACCAGATCCTTCTATATAAGCCCCTCCCTACTGCAAGACACCAATCAGAGTTCAGACTGAGGGCAAGCATCGAGCAGTTCTGGGCTCGGATGCAAGTATGATTTCTATAAAAAGACATTTAAAAAACAAGGAGCAATGTTGCCATTTTGCCTTTAATGGGAAAGTGGCTAGAAGTGACAGTTAAAAAAAAATCTTTTATTTAAAAAAATCTCTATCCAACTTGTAGGCAATCATTGTATGAATTTTCACAAATGCACATACACTCGAAAACCAATAAAGTCTTTATAAAAATAAACTCTGAACATATGATTAAAAAGGGAGAAGCCCAGTCTTTTTAGCTGCACAAATGCATAATAAAAAGGAGGCGAGTCTGTCTGAGATGGTTCACCCCAGCGTGGAGGGGGCTTTGACTTTGGAAGACAGAGCCTNAATCAGAGTTCAGACTGAGGGCAAGCATCGAGCAGTTCTGGGCTCGGATGCAAGTATGATTTCTATAAAAAGACATTTAAAAAACAAGGAGCAATGTTGCCATTTTGCCTTTAATGGGAAAGTGGCTAGAAGTGACAGTTAAAAAAAATTCTTTTATTTAAAAAAATCTCTATCCAACTTGTAGGCAATCATTGTATGAATTTTCACAAATGCACATACACTCGAAAACCAATAAAGTCTTTATAAAAATAAACTCTGAACATATGATTAAAAAGGGAGAAGCCCAGTCTTTTTAGCTGCACAAATGCATAATAAAAAGGAGGCGAGTCTGTCTGAGATGGTTCACCCCAGCGTGGAGGGGGCTTTGACTTTGGAAGACAGAGCCTGCTTGAAGCGCCTCTTCAGGTCCTGCATGTTGGGAGAGCGGGGCCGCGGGATGATGGAAGCTCTTCTCCTTTCCCCGCTGAGGCTGTGCAACTTGCTCACTTCTTTGCAGAGATGCTGAAACACATCACAGACGTCTTCGTAGTTTTCGCTAGTGGAAATTTCAAGGAACAGGCTGCCCAGCTCATTGGCTAGCTGAATGCCATCATGCGCGAGCCAGCATTTTCAACTAGTACTGCCAGGTGAGTCAACTGTAGGAAACAAATTTCATTTCTTTATAAATTACTCAGTTTCAGGTATTCTGTTATAAGCAACAGAAATGGGCTAATA